AGCCCCTTTGTTGGAAAAAATCAAACCCTCAACCCACAAAGGTTGGTTTTCTGCAGCCAAGCGTTTCTCGCCAAAACCTGGAAGATGGGCATGTCCGTCAAAACCATCCGTGGGTCAAGGAGGGGAAATGCCCAAGTTGCTTTGAACATGTGTTGTGTGAAAGGGTGTGTCTACACGGCACCCTTAGCTTGAAATAAGACACGCAATTTCTTATTGCGATGCTCTCTCGAAATAGGCTATTTCGAAATTAGGCCTGTCTACCCAGCGCCACATTTGGAAATAGAGCGCTGTTTCGAGACATCCCTTATTCCTCGTGGAATAACGCGTCCGCTCTATTTCAAAATAGCGTTCAAAAGACGTGGGATACCTCTGGTATCCCGAAATAGCACTGCAGAGTAGACGTACCCAAACCGACAAGCTGTCCCCGGAAGGCATCCCTTTAAGGCAAGGAGCTGCCTCCACCTTTTGACGCCTTCTGAGCCGTCTTAAAGTTCAGAAAAGATCTAGCTAAAGGGGTAGGCCCAGCTCGCCAAAGGTATTTAGGTGCCTAATTCCCACTGGCACTAAAATCCCTTTGAGGGTCTAGGCCCTAGTGTCTAATCCACAAGCTGCCAGCGTAGGTTGACATGGACAGTTTGGGTCTCAAGGTCTTTTCCCCGGGCCCTAGCAGAAAAGCCAGAAACCCGGGAACCACTTTAGTTACCGCCCCTGCAGAGCCGTGGTTTCTAGCTCCCATATGGGCCAGGCTGGCAGCTGGCTTGGGAGTGGCGTCTATTCTTTCGCTGCTGCCCCGGAGCGTGGCCTGTGGGTGCAGACACGGGGATGCTGGTGGGCTACCCACACCCCATGCTGCCTGGACTTCCTACCCCCCGCTGGGGCTTTCTTCACCCTGCCCAAAGCCGGCGGGCTGCAGATTCGGACGCCTTTGGGGTGGAACGCGGGATGCAGTGTCAGCGCGGCGGCATTGGGAACCGGCCTTTGCTGCGCAGCTATGTGATGTACGGGGCACTGAAAGGATGGTTGGCACCAGTGCCAGCCCGCATGGACAGACCTCCTGGCCCCTCCTGCCTGCTTCCCCCTTCAGGCTCCCCCCCGCCCCTGGCCTGATGGGATTAATTCAGGAGAAGGAAGGGCTGGCCCCCTATGCAACAGGGATAGATTAAGGCAAGACCGAAGAGCCTAGACTCTGAGCCTCCCTCCTTTTGTGATGCCCCCTCCCCCAACCACAATTCTTTACAGGTGGGGAAACTGAGGCACGGAATGGGGGACTTGCCCAGTGGCAGAGTCAGGAATAGCACCCAGGAGCCCGGGGCTCCCACCTCTCTGCTCTAACCACGAGGTTGCACTGCCTCCCTCATCAACACGCAGGCCCTTGACTGTAACATGGCAACCCTCCCCCCACCAATCACACTCTGTCCCGCTTGGCCTCGCTCCGGGCCTGGCTCCACAGTCAGCGCGTTGGGTGACTTTTGGAGCCTGAAATCCAACGGGCCCGACAGTGACGGCGCCGTGGCGGACTCACACGGCGGCGCCTGGCTCTGGTGTGAGGAACATTGGCAATCAACGGCAGAATAAAACACACGGCGCCAGCAAACCTTTCCCCTGCCCCCCCGGCGAGCGACAGACCCTCTGTGTATCAACCCTACCCGGCTGGCACCTCGAGCAGGTGCATTTGACCCCCTAGCAACCCGGCACCGGAGGGGGACACAGCAGAAGTGGCTTCCCCGTGAGTCCCCGCCAAGCCGGGCATGCCAAGCCGGGCAAGGCCTGCAGCTGGGTTTGCATCCCCGTGACAGTCACACGCACGCACACGTCACCTGGACACGCGACCGACAGTCTCTTGACCTTCCACCGGCGAAGGAGCCGCCCCAGGCGGGAGTCACGGGGTGGGTGGGGGCGAGGAGGAGATTTTGACACTGGCTTTGCATTAAGGACTCGGCTTCTTGCTGGGCAGAGAACTGTCTTTCCTTTCCAGCCGCATGTAAGGCTCAAAGGCCGAGCTCCCCAGTCCGTAGCCGCCCGGCAGCTCGTGCAGGCTTCCCAAGAGGGGGCTGCTGAAACAGACCGGGGTTGCAGGCAGCCGGGGGGAGGAGGAGGAAGCGAGAGAGGGGACCTGCAGGCTGAAGGCTCTTGTGGCGGGGGGGGGGGTGCCCCGCCGCCGCCCCCGGGGGGGGGGGG